CCCCAAAACCCCAAAACCCCAAAACCCCAAAACCCCAAAACCCCTCTAATAAAAATTAATATAGAATAACTCTAAATGGAAAGGTAAGAAGCTCCCAAACTGTTATAGAAACTCAAGGAACCACATTGCAGGGGGTCATAGTAGTCATATTTCATCATATACCGGCAAAAGTTCGGACTATGGTGATCCTTATGCCACTAAAATCACAGGTAATAAAGTAAGTAAAGTGCCTTATAAATTGACATAAATGGTTCCAAACCTCTCTTGTTGCTTCTTTATACCACTAATTTTAGGGAAAAGGAACTAGAGCAAACAGACAGAGTAACTGTAAGCTTCAAACCCTCATAATAAAGCTATTTCTCCTGGCAAAGCTGCTAAATCAACCAATTTCTCTCAAGGTAAACTTATGAGTTTATGAATTAGACCCAAAGAATAAAAGCAGACTGATAATCCGGGATGCAAGCCTTGGCTCAATGAAATCAACCAAGAGATATGCTCCTGGAACCACTAAATCTAGAAAACGAGTTGTGATGTCTTCCTACACGAAACAAGTTAACCTAACTGTCAAGAAGATGAGAGAGGACCTTGATCCTGAAAATATCATGGATGGAATTGAAAAGCTAGACCTCGAAGTCCAGCGGCTTGACGAACAAATCCCTCCAGACTTTCAATACGAAGTAGAAATCTCTGAAATGGTTGATGCTAACAAGGAGCTCAAGGACAAAGTCAACGAAATCGCTTTGCTCGTGAAAAACTCACTTGCCAAGATCAATGTACGAAAATAAATTTATTCCATAGAAGCCCAAGGCTAATGTCAAAGTTTCCAGAGAAGGCCCTCGAGATGACCCTGAGCTCATAAGCCGTAGAAAGACTAGGGATAAAATTCACAAAGAAATCAGAAAGGCCAGAGAGAAGATGACCAAACTTCGCGCTAAGGCAAATTCAAGGATTGTAGATCCTCGTGAGGAGAAATTTGAGGATAACCTCCGCACCCTGAACACAGAGGTAGAGACCTTAAAAGATGAGCTGAGGATTCATAAATAAGCAAACAAAGAGGCAGAATAATACTCTTTCTAAGGAGCAAAATTCCGTTTACCAGATAGTAACTCCCACTTTAACTCTTTAGGGGATGGATACAGATTACTCTAAAAGAATCCAAGAAATTAAGGAAGAAATAGTCACTACAAAAGAGCAAGTTAAGACCAGAGAGAAGGAACTAAAAGAGATAGAATCTAAGAGCCAGCATAAGGTATTCCTTTACTCATAACTACAGACTGCTGAGTTCCTTAAGATTCAGAAAGAATTCCGTAAAGTTCATGGAAACTCTGTGCTGCTCAAGCATAATAAACCCACAATGGAGCTGCAGAAGAAGCAGTCCCTGAAAGATGAGGAGAAATTCAAGCTGAAAAAGCAGAAAGATTTCGAAGTAATTCTACGAATTATTTTTAGAAGCAATATCGTAACGAAGAAACTCTCCATAGCGATCTTATGAAACGGTTTGATAAGTTCATTTCTTCTAAGCGTAAGACCCTAGAATAATGTTTAGAGGCCCAGATCAACGAAGTTAAAGCAAAGATGGAAAAAATAACTGACCAGAATAAGGTATTACTAACCTCTAATATTTCACAGAAGCTGGGAAGTCAGATGAAAGACCTCAAAGAGATGGCTAAAAAGCCAAAATAATTATATGTCTCCAACTGCAACTCTTCCGTAGGGGTTTTGGGGTTTTGGGGTTTTGGGG